CCTTGACCTGCTGGATGCAAATGGTGAGGAGGCTGAATGGGATGATGTAGTCATATGGTGGAACAAGTCTATGTTGCTTCTTTTCCACATCAAGTACAGCACCCACTGAGACTGTTCCATGGGAGAGAAATACACTTTTATTCTATTTGAGCCATTTCATATTTTGTGATCGATTTGTTACTGTAGTCAAGGGTATCATGAGGAACTCATTAAATTTTCAGAACACAATTCTACTTAAAATGAATTAGGTCTATAATTAATTACATTAACAACATCCAACACCTTATTCTGCATGTGTGAATTATATACTAGGTATGGGGAATGTATGTCTAATTATTTTTTCTTATCTAGTTATTATGCGCTTTATCAACTATGCACCTAAAGAAGTTTTTTTCTTTTTGTTTGTTTATCTCCTGAAATGCTTTTCTCTCACACAGCATCATAATATCTTAGGCTCAAAGGGTTCAGTGAATATGGAGAGTTCAGGCACTATTGATTAGTTTATAAGGTATCGGAATGTAAGAGGCGAGACTCTTGTCAACATGGCCGAATAAGCTAATATTGACAGGGCACATTCCTATTTGAACATATAGAAATTGTAGATAAATATAAAAGGAAAAATAAAACTTAAACAAAATATATAACCAAATCTAAAAAAAAAAAAAAGAATATCTTGGTATGAGAGACAAAAACAAAACTCAGAACAAGAATTTTAACCCATAGCTGATGCTATGGTGGCCCCTTCGGGTTTGCAGTCAGGAATGAGGTGGGCTCAAAGGATTTGGTATGGAATGCTTACACCCCTTTGGTACAGGAGATTTGGTCACAGATCCATATGAAACATGGAGAATATTCTATATAAAATACTTGAAGTGTTGTCTTATTGAAAAAGAACACTAGAATTTTGCCAGAAGGAAAATAATAGGATAAATTCATAGAATTTATCATTGTCTACAGAGAAAGCTCATGAGAATTTTTAGATAAACTGAGATATCAGAAAGTTTCTTTGTTATAAACTAATTTTTAAAATACTGGTTTTATACTTAAGTAATGCTAAATTAGGAAATATAATTTTAGAAAAGACTCTCATTTAGAATAGCAATAAAAGAATCTAGAAATAATTCTAAGAGAAGTCCAAAACTGATTTAAAAATTAATAAAATATGGGAGATAAATAACGTTAGTGGAAAACGTCAATTTTATAAAAATGTAGTTTTTTCCAAGTAGTCTCTGAATTCAGTGTAATTCAAATCTGAATACCAGAGATTTCCTTTTTTTTTGTTTGTTTGTTCATTTGTTTGTTTAAATTTGCCATAGTGTGCATGCAGTTGCCAAGAGAGGCAGGAAGAGCAAGAGTGAGGGCGAGAGAGAGCAAGAGAGAGAGAGAATGAGAGGGAAAAAGCAACCCCTAGTGGGGCACAGTTACATCACATTTTTTCTCCATTTCTAGGGCTTTGGCATGCATACATACATGCTCAGCATGTTTTACAAGCCCCAGAAGCTGGGGTTCAACCACAAGATTAGTAATGTGGAATCCTGTTCTCTTAACCACTAGGCCATAGGGCCAGCTCACACAGATTTTTTTTAAACATGGAATTTAGTGATCTGATCAAAAAATGTAGGTAGGATAATAGAATCAAGGAGAAAAATAATTTATAAAGAATTTTGAAAAAACTTCAATCCATTTAGAGGAAAATAGAGGGAAATATGTATATGATGCTAACAGAGGAATTGATTTATTAAGCCAGGCACAAATGTACGAAACATACGAATTTTTTTTTTTTTTTGGAGAGATTTTCGCTATAGGGCGTGTGTGCTCACTGGACAGTCAGAGGGAGACATAGAGACAGAAAGCGAGAAATCACCCCCCAGGGGGGATGGTCATGCCACAATTCCTTCTCCATTCTCCTCTCGGGATCTTGGGCACGCACGCACACATGCCCGGTGTGAGTTTTAAGCCACCAGGTCCGGGACGCGAACCGCGGTCGACTATGTGGGAGTCCAGCAACATAGCCATTACGCTAACTGCTGGTTCCCGAAACATAAGAATATTGTAAACATTAGTGCTTACAACTGTTTCTATGAAAAAGACATTACTAAGGAATGAGAAAGACTAGTTATGCACTAGAAAGAGGTATCTGCTACACACACATTCAGTATAGGAATAGTAATCAGAATGCACAGAATCCTGTATAGTAGTAAGCAAAGGATTAAAAAAATTCAAGAGGAAATAATGGACAATAGACTTGAATAGGCAAGACAGAGAGGAAAATTTCATGGTTAATACACAAGGGAAAAGATCTTTAACTAAACCAAAACCAAAATTTAAGTAACTTTCTTCATCTTGGAGTATGTGAAGTATAAAGCTCTGACCATTTCAAGTGTTGGAAAAAATTAGAGACATTATCATGAACATTTGTAAAATAATTAGGCTATAAGTAGGAAAGTTGAAACTCATACATCTCTGACCCAGCAACTCTGCTTCCTGATTCACCCTAGAGAATCACTAGCACATAGGCTCAAATGATATGTACTAGGGTGTGTGTTGTCACTAGGAAACTTAGACATTTTCTACCCAGGGAGGGGTGAATAAGTACATTGTGCTTTTTCTTATTCATTAATTCTGTACAACAGTTAAATGAATAGATTCTCATGAATAAGTAAGAAAAAAATGGAATAGAAAGCAAAAGTTCTTAGAAAATTTTTGGCATATCACAAAATATTTGTACATTTTAATTCAAAGTATTAATAATAAACTCTTATGTAGTAAAGTATAAATGCTGAATGGAATTATATTATAAACCATAGAATAGTGGTTATCTCTGGAGTGAGAGGCAGTAAAATAAGATTTGAGAACAAAGAGAGTTTCAAGTGTATCTGTAGTATTTCCTTATTATTTTTATTTGGAGCAAATATGACCTAATGGTCTATTTGTTTAATCTAGATGGATGAGATTTGTTATGTTATTTTCTGTGTGGTTCTGATATTTTAACAACATCATAATAAACACATTTATTAAAATAAAGATTTCACATGTTTGGTGATAATTTGGTAGAGTGTGGTCATGGAGCTGGGTGATTCAAGTCCATGTGTCTTTGAAGGTGAGAGATAGTGTTCCTTATAAAGAGATTAAGAATAAAGAGCAGAAGTTTCCACATGGTGCCAGCGAACTAGATTTTTCAGGGAATGAAGATTTTCTACTGATAATACAGCCTCCAACAAAGGAGCTAGCGGCAGAAGAAGCTGGGCCTTCAGCAGAAGGTTCCACATGGCGCCAGCGAACTAGATTTTTTAGGGAATGAAGATTTTCTACTGATAATACAGCCTCCAACAAATGAGCTAGCGGTAGGGAACCCCCCACCCCGCACCCCTAGCCTTCTGTCTCTCTTTCTGTCTCAGTTCCTGTCTCTCCCTGCTTCTGTCTCTCCTTTTTTTGGTAATTTTTCCTTTTTACACTTTTTTTAAAAGGCACAGTT